GAGCTGTGACAAGCACTGTAATATAGTGCACTGGGAAGCACCAATTCCCAAGAAGGGACAATGTCAGGAGACCCTGCCCTTAAAATCTGGGACACTCAGGTGTGTCCAGGCTGTGCCAGCCCAGCAGCTCTGGAGAAGTTCTCAGTGGTCTGACTTGTTTGTTCCTTCATTTCCAGGTATTTTACAATATTTGCCAAATATTCCCTCGCTGCCAGGATGTTTTGGCTCAGGGATTGATGAGTCAGGCTGGTTTCAGCTTCGTTCAGTCCCCAAAGCAGCACAACAACATCCAAGCCCCCTGCTCTTCTTAATTTCCCACTGAGGGCTTTCCAAACAGGGGCCTTGCACGAAGGAGAAGGAAGGAGAGGAAGGAAGAAGGAGAAGGAACAGGGAGAGCAAGGAATAAACCAGAAGGAAGAAGGAGAGGCAGGAGAAAGGAGAAAGAAAGAAAAGGAAGAAGGAAGGAAAAGGAACAAGGAAAGGAAAGGAAGGAAGGATAGGAAGGAAGAAGGATGGGGGGCAAAAACAAGGTGTGAGCAGGTTGGGCTGGGGGGTTCCCCCTGCCCAAGCCCATCCCCAGAAGTCACTGGGCATCCTGTGCCCACAAAAACCTCCAAAACACTCAGATCTTGGTTTGGGGGGGTCGTCCCACCCCTGTCACCCTCACTGTGGGTGTCCCACTCCCTCTTTTCCCCCCCTTTCCCACCATGTCTCCCCTTCCCACTCCCCCAAGTTCCCCTCACCCACACCTTGGGGGGGTTCCCAGCACCACCAGTCCCACCAGTCCGGCCCCAGTTCCCCCCACATGGCCCATCCCCAGTGCTGGGCAGGTCCTGACACCCCAAACTGGTGCTAAACTGAGCCTGGACTTGGTCACCAGTTTATTCCCAGAGGCCCAAGAGCACTTCCCGTGGCAACACTTCACTGGCAGCTGAAGTTAAACAACAGGCAGGGCGTTCACACAGAATTTACCACCCCACAGCAGCAACTCACTCACTCACAGGCCTGAGTGCCTGACAGATTCACAGGGCTGAGGAACCCAGGAGAGAGAGAGAGCAGCATTCCCAGGATGTTTTCCGTGGCAGATTCACACCCACACGGGCACAAAGAGGCTGGACAAGGCACTTGGGGACAGGAATCGTCCATCCTGGCCCCAGTTCAGGCCAGGGACTGCTCTGGAAGTCGGAGAACAAGAATACAATCCCACTGGGTTTGTTCTTCGGGTGAGAAAAATGAAGTTTCCAGGGCTGTGGGTTGAGAAGAGCAGGAGCTGCTCAGACAGCACCAGCCCCTGGGAGCAGGGAGGGTTTCTGAGCAGCCCAAGAGCAGCTCAGCCCAAGGGGCTGTTCATCAAATCCGAGGCCTGATGAGCATTTCTCAGATCACAGTGAGGGCTGGTGGAGAAAAAAAACACCCCCACAGTGGGTTCCAAGGAACATGGGCCACCAGAAACATTGGCCAACAGGCCTTTACCCGCCAGGTCTGTGCCCGACGTGGGTCCCTGTGGATCATCCAACGTGGATCACCCGACGGGTGACGGGGTGGGAGCAGCGGCCGAAGCTCCCTCGTGCTTCCCTCACCGGTGGGTCCGCCGGTGGGAGGCCAGGGCAGAGCTCTGGTTGAAGCTCTTCCCGCACCTCAGGCACCTGTAGGGCCTCTCCCCGGTGTGGATGTGCTGGTGCTTGAGGAGGTCGGAGCTGCGGGCGAAGCCCTTCCCACAGTGGAGGCAGCGGAAGGGCCTCTCCCCCCGGTGCATCCGCCGGTGCAGGAGGAGGTCGGAGCCGCTCCGAAAGCCCTTCCCGCACTCGGGGCACCCATGGGGCCGCTCCCCGCTGTGGAGGCGCCGGTGGAGGACGAGGCTGAAGCTGCGGCTGAAGCTCCTCCCGCACTCCGGGCACTCGTAGGGCCGTTCCCCCGTGTGCAGCCGGTGGTGGGCGAGCAGGTGGGAGCTCTGCCCGAAGCTCTTCCCGCAGTCCAAGCACTCGTAGGGCCGTTCCCCGGTGTGGGAGCGCCGGTGGTAGGTCAGGCTGGAGCTCTTGCTGAAGCTCCTGCCACATTCCAGGCACTTGTAGGGCCGTTCCCCGGTGTGGAGGCGCTGGTGGACCAGCAGGTCAGAGCTCTGGCTGAAGCTCTTCCCGCACTCCCCGCATGGGTAGGGCCGTTCCCCCGTGTGGACCTTCTGGTGGCGGAGCAGGTGGGACCTCCAGCTGAAGCTCTTCCCGCATTCCAGGCACGGGAAGGGCTTCTCCTCGCCGGGAAGCTGCTCGGGGACCGCCAGGTCGGAGCTCTGGCTGAAGCTCCAGCCGCTTTCCCAGCGCCCCAGGGGTGTTTCCTCCCCGGAGCCCTTTCCCACAGGGAATGGTTGCGGCTCTTCCTCCCCGCTGCCTTCCTGGGCCGTGGAGCCCTTTGAAACAGCCCCTTCCATGGGGTCCTGCTGGGAGGATTTGTCCTCAGGTTGTTCCTCTGGGGGAGGAAGGAGGAGGAGAGGGAGGAAGGAGAAGAGGGAATGAGGAGACGGAATGAGGGAGAGGAAGGAACAAGTTGAGGAGGGAGCGAGGAGGGAAAGGAGCAAGGAGGGGAAGGAGGAGAGGGAGGAACAAAAAAGGAATGAGAAAGGAGAAGGAAGGAGGAGAGGAAGGTGCAAGGAGAGGAAGAAAGAAGCAAAAGGAAGAAGGAGAGGAAGGAACAGGAAGAAAACGGAGTAAGAAGAGAAAGGAAGGAGAAGGAAGGAAGAAGGAGAAGGAACAGGGAGAGCAAGGAAAAAGCAGAAGGAAGAAGGAGGGGAGGAAAAAGGAGAAAGAAGGAAAAGGAAAAAGGAAGGAAAAGGAGCAAGGAAAGGAAAGGAAAGAAGGAAGGAAGGATAGGAAGGAACAAGGACGGGGGAGGGGAAAACAAGGTGTGAGCAGGTTGGGTTGGAGGTTCCTCCTGCCCAAGCCCATCCTTAGAAGTCACTGGGCATCCTGTGCCCACAAAAACCTTCAAAACACCAAGATTCAGCCCAGCAAATATCCCCAAAACACAAAGTCACAGCCCCAAAAATCCCAAAACGTTATGATTCAGCTAAAACCCCCTTCAAACCATCAACACTCATCAAAAACCCTTCAGAATATGAAGGTTCATCCCCCAAAAAATCCCAAAATACCAAGATTTAGCCCCAAAACACCAAGATTTGTCCCCTGAAAAACTCCAAGAGTTTGAGATTCAGTGAAATAAAGCCTTTTCAAAGAGTTCCCCCCCTCTCTGGTGTCTCCACTTTGGGGTTCTGGGAGTCCCCCCCTCTCCAGGCTGTCAGGGGTCCCTCCTCTCTGGGGACCCCCGTTTATGGACACTGGGGGTTTTGGGGGTCCCAGGGGTCTCCCCTCTCCAGGCTGCTGTGAATCCTGGGGGTCTCCCCTCTCTGGGATCCCGACTTTGGTGTCCCAGGGATCCCCCTTCTCCAGACTGCTGGGGGTCCTGGGGGTCTCCCCTCTCCAGGGCTCCCTGTTTTGGGGTCCCAAGGGAACTCCCATCTTCAGACTGCTGGGGATGCCGGGAATCCTGGGGGTCTCCCCTCTCTGGGATCCCTCCTTTGGTGCCCCAGGGGTCTCCCCTCTCCAGGCTGTGGGGGGTCCCAAGGGTCCCCCCCTCTCCGGGGCTCCCCGTTTCGGCGTCCCAGGGGTCCCCCCTTTCCGAGCTGCCAATGAAGGGCTTGACTCAGGGACACCAAAGCGCGGAGGGGTAGGGGGGGGAACCTGGACCCCACCCCGGCACGCCCAAAAACATCTCCCAAGTTCCCCTCCCCCCACCAAAGGGACATTTGCGACTCATTTCGGAGTCTTCAGAGATCCAAACGATCCCCCTGGTTACAGGAGCGGAGGAAACAGCTGGAGCCGAGTCAGGGATGTTCAGGGGGGATGGCAGGGAAAGGTTTTTCCCCCCTCTCTCCAGGGCCCAAGGGATGGGGACACCAAAGGACCCCGAGGGAACCCCTTTCCCGCTGTCCCACCTCCCCTTATCCCCCCTTCTCCCACTCCCTTCCCCCCCAAACCCCGGCTCGCCCCTCCCCCCCAGGCTCCCTTTTGGGGGTGACCCACCCCCTTTCTCGCTCAGTTCGGGGGTCCCAGCCGGTCTTTTTCCCCCTCTCCCCACCCCTTTCCCATCGTGTCCCCCCTCCCCGCTCACCGAGAGCGCCTCGGCCGTGCGGGAGGAACTGGAGGAGGAGGAAGGGGAGGAGGAAGGGGGGGAGGAAGGAGGGGAGGGATCGGGGGAGGAGGGATCGGGGGAGGAGGAATCGGGGGAGGAGGAATCGGGGGAGGAGGAAGGGCAGGACCATCGCCCCCCTCCCCAGTCGCATCCCCCAGGTGACCTGGGACAGGGAGCTCGCCCCAAATATCTTGGGAGTGTCTCTGGTTTTTTTTCCCTGGGGGGTAGGAGGGTGAATGTTTGGGTCAAAGCTGAGCCGCAGATGCTCCTTGGGGGGATGTTGGGGGTCCCTGGGAGGTGTTTTTTTGGGGGTGCCGTGGGGGGTTCCCGGGATGCGGGTGGGGGTCGGTGTTGCTGGATCAGGGGGCTGGGCCGGTACAGACGGACGGACACGACACAGCGGGTTTGGGGAGTCCTCGGGACAGCCGGGGGGGGGGGGGGGGGGGGGAACCCCCGGGGCCCCCGGGGGGGGGGGGGGGGGGGGGGGGGGGGCGGGGGGGGGGGGGGGGGGGGGGGGGGGGGGGGGGGGGGGGGGGGGGGGGGGGGGGGGGGGGGGGGGGGGGGGGGGGAGAAACCCCCGGGACCCCCGGAGTGGGGAGAGCGGAGCGGGGCGATCCCGGAGCTGGGGGACCCCCTGGGAAAGGGGGGGAAGCTCTGGGACAAGAAGTGGGAGCCCAGAGAGGGAGGACCCCCGGGATTCCTGGGACTCCCAGCAGACCAGAGAGGGAGAACTCAGGAGGGGAGGGGGGGGACCCGTGGGACCCCCGGAACCCAAAAACAGAGACTCAGGGGAGAGGGGACCCCTGAAAGTCCCAACATTCCTAAAGTAGCACCCTGGAGAGGGGGGAACCTCGGAACCCCAAATGGGGGAGCCCAGAGTGGGGTACCTGGAGATGTCACAGTCCCCAGAGAGGAGGGATCCCCTAGTACATGTGGGACCCCCAGCATTCCGGACAGGAGGGACCCCCAGAACCCCGAAGTGGAGAGGCTAGAGAGGAGGAGCTCCTGGGAGTGTTTTTTGGGGGCTGAATCTTGGTGGTTTGGAGGTTTTTGTGGACATAGGATGCCCAGTGACTTCCAGAGGTGGACTTGGGCAAGGGGGCACTGAACAAATGCATTGCCAGGACAAGAGCAAAGCTCTTCCCCTAATCATGATGCATTTCTGGACAGAAATCCCAAGGATCTACTCCCACATGTTAAACAATACCAGGGCATATGTTTGTAACCTCCAAATGTGGAGGCCTTGGGAGATTTATGCTCTTGTCAGCTCGTGTCAGGTTAAGTGATAAGAAGCTCATCTGCACACCCAGATGGGGCACTAACAGTGGTAGGAGGAGTAACAGGGCAGTTAATGCTCTGCCCTGGCTGCTCCATCCCTGCAGAGCCATCAGCTCACCAGGAATCCATCTCCAAACAGAGAGAGCACAGAGGAACAGTGGCAAGGGACAACCCAAATTATGGGCTCCTGAGAAAGCGACACCATGTCCCAACCCCTTCCAGGGCTGCCCTGGCAGAGCCATCAGCCCTGTTGTCCAGGTTTGAAAGCCCTAAGGCAACTGAGAGCAGATCACCATTTGAACTGGGGGGATTGTTGCCTTGGAGTGTTGGACACATTCTGGGATGCAGGGGAAAAGCAGTTTTGGATAGCACAGGGCTTGAGGGAAGTTGAGGGGAGGACCCCAACCAGTGCAGTCTGTTCTGTCTTCTCATTAATAAAATACGCACGATTGTGAAATGTGTGAAATGTGAATGTATTTATCTTTCCGTGTTTAGATCCCAGTCAAGGCCATGGCAGTTGATGTCTGGCCTTGTTTGGCAGCAGGTGGTGCACACTGAGTCCCTTGGTTTGTCCCTTAGGCCCTGGCCAGGCTTTGGGTGGAGAAATTACACCCTTGTTCCTTAGAGTTGGTGTCTGTGTGTCTTGTGCTGACCCTCTTCACTTCTCAAGGCCCTTCTCCCCATCTTTGTTGCCTCCTTTTGAAACTCTCTAATGGCTCAATATCTTTCTTATATTCCACGAGTTTCTGAAGTGTCTCAGGGCTCCTTTGGTTCCATAAGGCCCTACCATATCAAAATGGCCCTTTACTTCCATGAGGTTCTGCAGTGTCCCAGTTTTCCTTTGCTTCCATGAGGCCCTGCAGTGTCACAATGGGCCCTTGATTCCAAAAGGTTCCAAAATATCTCAGAGTTCCTTTGGTTCCATGAGGCCCATCAATGTCACAATGGTTCCTTGGTTCCATGAGTTTCCATAGAGTCCCTGAGTTCTTTTGCTTCCATAACGCCCTGCAGAGTCCCAGTGGCCCCTTGATTCCCTGAGGTTCGGAAATGTCACCATGGCCCCTTGATTCCACCAGATTCCACCTTGTCCCAAAATTGCTTGGGTTCCATGAGCCCTTGCAGTGTCACACTGGATCCTGTTTCTCCAGGGGAAGAGGGTCAGCACAAGACACACAGACACCAACTCTAAGGAAAAAGGGTGTAATTTCTCCACCCCAAGCCTGGCCAGGGCCTAAGGGGCAAAACAAGGGACTCAACGTGCACCACCCTTTTGGGAGTAACCTGGACGAGGATGAGGAGTTTAGAAGGTGGAAAGAAATGATTTCTGGTAATATAGGCCAGACAGCATCAGACATACAGACTGTTAGATTGTGAGCTTTCTCTCTTATGGGGGAGAGCAGGTTTCTCGGATTGGCCAAAGTTCAGTCAGAGGCAGTTAGTTTTCCCAATTAAGAACTTACTAATTATCTAAAGATGCATGTATTCCCTCTATTAAGTATATCAATCTTAAATCCTATCCAATGCCCTGTCCAAGTTTACATATACCTACTCCCTTTTTCCAGAACCTTCCTTATCTGCCTATAAAAACCCTCCATTTTGTAAAATAAAGTTAGATCAGCCTTAGCAACCACAGCTGGTGTCTCTGTGTGATTTGACCCCTGAGCTCAGCTGATACACCACCGGGCACAATGAGAGAAACTGCAGCTGCAGACCTGCTGGTCTGACATGATCCAGAAACGCCGAACCGTGATATCACCCGCTGCCAAACAAGGCCAGACATCGACTGCCATGGCCTTGACCGGGATCTAAATACGGAAAGATAAATACATTCATATTTCACACATTTCACAATCGTGCGTATTTTATTAATGAACGAATACAAATATTTTCCACCAATGAGTAGATACAAATATATCTTACACAGATACACAGCCCTATCCCACTACAGATTTCACTGATGCTCATACACAGTTTTAGCTCCTGAGTGGATACACAGAGAAATAGAATGTTAAGTTGGAAGGTTCATCCAGAGGCCAACTTTGGCTCAGGGGATGTTGTTCAGGCCTCAGTATTTCAGCTGCAGAGCCCTGTGGAACCAAGAGGCCATTGTGACACTGTGGGGCCTCATGGAACCAAAGGCACCCTGTGATCCTGTGGAACTTCATGGAGATAAAGGAACCCCAGGACATTGTGGAACCTCATGGAATCAAGGGACCGCTATGACATTGCAGGGCTTCTTGGAATCAAGGGGCCCTTGTGACACTGTGGAACCTCATGGAACCAAAGGAACCCTGGGAAACTGTGGAACCTCCTGGGGTCATCAGGGCAACTGGGATGCTGTGGAACCTCATGGAATAAAAGGGTTTGATTGTGACACTGTGGGGACTTCTGGAACCAAAGGGACCCTGTACCTGTGACTGATGGACACTCGAGGACCATTATCCTGACTGAATCTGGACTCTAATGGGCACCAACACAGGATCAGTTCCCCATGGATATTTCCCACATTCTGAACTACCCTTGCCATTGTATAAGTTTGTGATTTTAGCTTCTCTAATAACCTTGGATGTTCAAGTTTATCCTCAGCAGACAGAAAACTGGGTGTATGTCCAGATGTGAGAGAAGGAGCTGCTCAAGAAGAAGGGGGAAGGACTTTTGTCTCCCAACATGTTTGTGGAAGCTCTGGGAGGAGACTCCCAAATTCCCTGTATGGTAATAAAACAACTCCAGACAGAGGAACCAACTGTCCTGGACAGTGCAGTGAACAATAAATCTGCTGCAGGTAAAGCTGCAACAGAATAAGAACCTCCAAAGTGAAAATCATGAAATGGTTTATCTTTTTTATATTTATAGGACAATGTTTCAAGGATTGCAGCGTGGTTATTTACCCCTGGATTAGCCAGCTGTCCTAACAGGGCCTTCAACTAACAATGATAAAAGAAAGCAAAGAGACCAAAGTCCCTTTTCCCAAGGGCCACTCCAACAGAACACACCTAGAGCAAATGCCACCTGAGCCTTGGAAGAGAAGTTCACCCTGAAAGCCAACGCAGGCTGTGACACTGAGAACAAACAGCAGGAACTGCTGGATTTGTTCTCCGTTTCCCACTCATTCCAATGAAAGCATTCAAATGATGGGACTTCCAATAGCAAACAGATTGTCCAGGGGTCTCCCTCTAGCTGGAGTGATGCTCCTTTTAGAAAGAAAAGCAGCCCAAACTCTCACAGATCCACAGATGCTCTTCCTGATCCCTCCCCTGGGGTTAAGTGAGAGATCTGCCTGCTCTCTCCTATGGTGGTTTATATCAATCTCTTCTTAATGCTTGATTCTTTGGCTGGTTTTGATAGAATTGCTTTGATACAGTGCACTGTACTACTTTATGCTACATTATACCCTACTAGTAGGTTTTTAGTCTTTTCACCCTGTAGTAAATCATTCTGATTAAGATTTTTCATCTGTTTTCACTTGTCGGTTCATTTGTCATAATAAACAATTCATTTTATATAAATACCTCTGATCTGCCATCATTAAAACCTGCGAGACAAAGTGATTTAATTACACCTCTGGAATTCCTGTAATTTAAACTGTTGGCACAGCCCGAGGCTAAGATTGGATCCAGCCACACTCAGGCTCCTCTCTGAGAAGGAATTTAGAAAACCAGGGGATCCTTTCTGTACCTCGTGACTCACCAGCAGTTGAGCTTCTTTAAAGGCTTTGTCTAAGCCTTCCACTCCCACCCAGGACACCTCCACAATCACACACCCCCCGACCCTGCAGTCCAATCGCTCCACTCGCTCCATTGCCAGCACTGTTGACATGGGGGTGTTTGATGCCCTGGTCCTCCTGCAGTTGCTGCACTCACACCCCCACGCTCACCAGCTCTTGCAGAGACAAATTGGCTCACACAGGAGTTAGAAATTCAGTTTAATGAGAAGACAGAACAGACTGCACTGGTTGGGGACACCCCTCAACTTCCCTCAAGCCCTGTGCTGTCCAAAACTGCTCTTCCCCTGCATCCCAGAATGTGTCCAACACTCCAAGGCAACAATCCCCCCAGTTCAAATGGTGATCTGCTCTCAGTGCCTTAGGGCTTTCAAACCTGGACAACAGGGCTGATGGCTCTGCCAGGGCAGCCCTGGAAGGGGCTGGGACATGGTGTCGCTTTCTCAGGAGCCCATAATTTGGGTTGTCCCTTGTCACTGTTCCTCTGTGCTCTCTCTGTTTGGAGATGGATTCCTGGTGAGCTGATGGCTCTGCAGGGATGGAGCAGCCAGGGCAGAGCATTAACTGCCCTGTTACTCCTCCTACCACTGTTAGTGCCCCATCTGGGTGTGCAGATGAGCTTCTTATCACTTAACCTGACACGAGCTGACAAGAGCATAAATCTCCCGAGGCCTCCACATTTGGAGGTTACAAACATATGCCCTGGTATTGTTTAACATGTGGGAGTAGATCCTTGGGATTTCTGTCCAGAAATGATTAGGGGAAGAGCTTTGCTCTTGTCCTGGCAATGCATTTGTTCAGTGCCAGTATCACAGCCTTGTTCCTAAGGCTGTAGATGAATGGATTTAAGAATGGGTACAGCACTGTGTTCACCAAAGCTACAATTCTGTTGGTCTTTAAGGAAGCATCTGTTGAAGGACACGTATAGAGAGCAATGCAGCTCCCATATGCAATGGATAAGGTGATGAGATGGGAAGAACAGGTAGTAAAAGCTTTTTTCTTCCTCCCAGAGTCTGCTGGAAGCTGCAGAATACAGAAAAGGATGCAGGTGTAAAATGCCAGAGTTAAACCTAAGGAACCCAACAAGGCACATGATAAGACAACAGAGTCTATTTTCCAAAGCAGGCTGGTGTCAGAGCAGGACAGCTGGAATAAGGGGGAGTTGTCACAAAGAAAATGGGGGATCCTGTTGGAGCCACAGAAGGACAGCTGAGACAGGAAGAGCGAATGGCAGCTCAGGAGGGTGAAGCCGATGACCCAGGCAGCAACAACCAGACCGAGGCAGAGCTGAGGCTGCATGGTGGCAGCGTAGTGCAGGGGTTGGCAGATGGTAACACAGCGGTCAAAGGACATGACAACGAGCAGGCCAAACTCTGTGCCACCCAGGGCAAAATAGAAATAGGATTGGGCAAAGCAGCTGCTCAGGGAGATGGTTTTTTGATCAGAACTCAGGATGGCAAACAATTTAATGCTTGTGGAGGATGTAAAGCAGATTTCCAGGAAGGCCAGGTTGCTAATGAA